CTACTTTGCACATATACACTTGATCCATTATTCAAATTAAAAGACAACAATGTATTTTAAACACTATGGGGACACTTACATAGTCTACAACTCTTTTCAGTAACTTCACATCATTTTCTCGCAATCCACAGCTCTCTTCCAACTGTAAGTGTAATGCTGGAGAAAAAGATTCTCCCACTACCCTTAAGCCAGAAATCCTAAAATAAATAAGAAACGTTTAATATATTAACACTTTATTCAGGTAGGATAAAGTTCCAGACAGTAAATGCCTCCACTTTTCAGGCAAGGAGTGACAAGAGAGGGATATTCCATAAAAACTTTCCTAAGGCATTTACTAAATCTAGTTATAGTAAGCTTTTGTATTACAATAGCCAACTTTTTTTTTTTTTTTTTTTTTTCAAAACAGATCAAGGATTCAAAATAAAGCATTTTGAGAGAATCTTGTCAAAAATATAGGAGAATTATTAATACATTTTGCTACATTTAACTACATTTTGCTGATAAAAATGCAGCTAGCTAACTCAAGTCTTTGGAATCTGTATTAGGAAAAAAAAACAGTAATAATACATCTTTCTACCTACTTAAGTGATAAGAAGAAACAAGGTCTATAGCTGGCAATACATCTGATTAATTATTTCTGTAGAAAATCTTTAGAACATCTTCTAATACCGAGTCAAAAGCCCTTTCAAAAATCAGTTATATTAACAGAACAACTCCCATGTCCCTACATGCAGACAACAGTTAATAGGTTCTTAAGAATTCCATTGCTACAGTTCTGAAACATGGCCTGATTATACTCCACACCTTGTTTATCCCATTCACCAGGACCTGCTGAAAAAAAAAGGAGGCTCTGCAAAGAAGGATCTGGGGGGTACTGGAGAGCAACAAATAAACCATGAGGCAGCAATGTGCCCTCGGGGCCAAGAAGGCCAATGGGATCCTGGCTGCATTAGAAGGAGCATTGCTAGTAGGTGGGGGGAGGGGATCTTGCCCCTCTGCTCAGCTCTGGTGAGGCTGCACCTGGAGTATTGGGTGCAGTTCTGGGCTCCCCAGGACAAGAGGGACATGGAGCTTCTAGAGAGGGTCCAGTGTAGAGCAACAAAGATGATTAAGGGACTGGAGCATCTCTCCTATGGGGAAAGGAGGAGAGAGCTGGGCCTGTTCAGCCTAGAGAAGAGAAGACTGGGAGGGGATTTTATCAGTGTGTTTAAATATCTGACAATTTAAAGAGGTCAGGGCCAGACACTCTTCAGGGGCAGGACAAGAGGCAAAGGGAACAAACTGAAATAGGAAGTTGTCATGCTATCCCATTAAAGGAAACGGTAAAATAATCCACAGGGGCAACAACCAATGGGCTTTAGCTAGTTGATTTTATTCATCAGCACAAGATCTCTGTGATAACAACATCCACTATTAACTGGCACGACTGTTATAGGGAGAGGTTCATCAATTAGTAAACAGCAACTAGCACAACTAAATGGAGTGCACTGCTTGTCCCAGTAAAAGGTTATAGTGTTTCTTCACCTAAGTGTATAGGGGCCTCTCAGCCTTGCAAGGAGTTGACAACTGCTAGCATGTTTCTTCTCCCTGAATGTGCAGGGGACTCTCAACCTTATAAAAGGGGCTACCTTAACCCAGTGTCCCAGGTAAGGGAAGGGGAGGGATCCTTACAATCCAGCCGGAGGAGTTGGTCAGGCATCATTCCCAATCCCTGTTCAACTCGTCACTTCTAGACTCTGCCCTTTATGCCCTTAGGGAAGATGTACGTGACTGTGCTATGGTCATCCTTATGAGGGGACCTTTTCAGAACATTCAGGCCAGATCCATAAGAGCATCTGCTCTTTGCACCATCAGTGAGGTTTTTTTTTTTGTTTGTTTGTTTGTTTTTTTGAGTTCTTAACTTTTCTCAACCAAGGATATGCAGTAAGTAATGAATTATTACTTATCAAAATATGGGGGGGCAGGGAAATAATCATGCACCCATTCTTACACACTAAATCTTAAATACAAAACCAAAGCCAAATCCTAAATACAGGTTTGTTACATTTTGGCTAAAAGAAAGATTTCTTTTATTTTTAATTTGTTCTTCTCATTTGTCCATTATGAGAAAAAAAAAAAAAAAAACAAGAAAAGAGAAGTTGTGCATTTTTTCCACTTTCTTTGCACACAGTTCTCCTTTTATGTTCCCTTTTAAACTGACAGTTCCATTCTATCAAAGGGAGAGCACAACAAAAAATTGGAGTCAAACAGTAGCTGGGATTAGGTGAGGGAGAAAAGTGCATTCAATGTAACAGCATTTAAATATATATATATATATACTTATTCTGAAAATTTTGCTTCCTGTTTTAATAATTGCACCTGTTTTCCAGCATGGTTACTAATTAAAAACAAGACAAAATAAAAACCTACATCACACAGGATCATGCAAATATTAGTTCAAATCTTCTCTCCACTATTGCTTTACACACTTGCTGAAATAGTTTACCTGCTAAAAGGCTGCCCAATCATCTGGCATTATTAAATCCTACTAATCCTATTAAATCCTATTATCAAATCTCTTCCAATTTTACCAAGTAACTCCCTTTGCTATTTATGCAATTTGACCTTTCTATCATGACACTGCTCTCCATAAGGCAAAAATAGAAAAATCCTATTACAGGACAGGCATTTTGTCCACTTACTAGTTTGTAACTATATTCATCACTGAAAGAGTTTAACATGTTAGCCACATGTGATCCAGTACTGTTTATAGTGAATATTAATGAATAAAAGGTTGATCATTTCTCCTTACATATGGTTTATTCATGTATGTTTAAATGTATGTTTAAATGTACGTTTGTTCCTGTATTTTTAAAATACATTTAAAAAATACATTTAAGTATATTACAACCTAAAAATGACAAGTACAGAAGAATATTACAATTACTCTCCCTTTTGCCTCAGTCATAAGATGCGCTTACTAGTAAAGAAGAGACACTAACATTTTTTAATTGACTGTAAAATATTTCAGATTTAGGAGCATGTGTATTTTTCTGACCTGAAAGCTTACGTGTTTTCAAACTACAATTTAAAAAAACACAATCAAAAAAGACTATGATTATTTCATGGTGGAATTATTCCTAAGACTATTTTAAAATTTCTAACATAAAAATTGGGCTAAACAGTAAACTTCTGTTGAGATGCAGATGCTTATTTGAAATAAAAAGTAACTGAAACTCAATAACTGACCAATGCATTAAAAAAAATAATACTCATAGAATCATTATGGTTGGAAAAGACTTTCAAGATCAAGTCCAACCATAAGCCCTTCAACACCATGCCTGCTAAACCATGTCCCTAAGGGCCTCATCTACACGTTTCTTGAACACTGCCAGGGACGGTGACTCCACCACTTCCCTGGGCAGCCTGTTCTAATGCTTGACTACTCTTTCCATGTAGAAATTCTTCCTAATGTCTAACCTGAACCTCCCCTGGCGCAACTTGAGGTCATTTCCTCTTGTCCTATCCGTAGTTATTCTGGAGAAGAGACCAACTCCCGCCTCACTCCAGCCTCCTTTCAGGTAGTTGTAGAGAGCGATAAGGTCTCCCCTGAGCCTCCTCTTCTCCAGACTAAACCACCCCAGCTCCTTCAATTGCATTATCAATTTAGAGTGTGTGTGTGTGTTTAGTTTTTATGCAATAAAGGCATATATGTGCATACATGCAATGTAATATGTAACAGGAAACAGTTGAAGAAAATGAAGTGTAAAATACAGACTTTTTGTGTATCCAATCTGCAAATTAGTACTTGAATACTCAGAGAAATTTCTATCAGAAAAAAAAAAAAAACCCACACAATTATTCAGTACAGCCACTTTTTAAAACAGAACACTTAGGAACTTTTAAAACAGTATTCTTATTTTTTCAGATAAACTTGAGCAGTTTCCTTTATGCCTTACTATTTATAAGTTGATCGCAAGTGCTTTTTTCATTTGAAAGAATATCAGCTAAGCTATGCCCATAACTATCATCAAATGAAATGCTTTTACTTATACATTTTTTTCACCATGATTATCAATACTTTGCACCATCAAAACCTCATTACACTCTCTAAAAGACTTAAATAGCTAGGAGCTTGTAAAAATCCGCACTAGAAATAAGGTATAATCTCAATTCAATATCTGTAAAGGGATTTAGATTTTTTTCCCTAAAAAATTCAGTCTAAGCATCAGTAGAATCAGAAACACTTTGGGGCAAAGAGAGTTCTTTAAAGTTGACCTTATCAACTAATGGACAGATTGACTATAGCACACACACAGACACACAAACAAACAAAAACCCTCCACACAGCAAAACCAAAAAAACCCCAAAACAAATCATCCTCAACAACAAACAGCTTACCCTTGTAAAGCTCTATGAATTCACTTGCATTTTTCCTGGAGAATTTGACAAATGTCTAGACAAAAGCAAACAAAAACCCTTACACCTTGTTACTCCTTTACATTTCTGTAAGGCTGAGAGTTTTTTTTTTTTTTTTTTTTTTTAAAGCAAACAAACAAACAAAAGAACAAAAAAAGGGAGAATTAATGGATTAAAGCACTAAGTCTCTTCATTACTCTTCATAATGTTCCTCACTCCCATTTCTGTCATTAAATGGCAGGTTTTTCAAGATCTGACAAATGCATTATTTCCCTTTATCTTTTTCCACATGATCATGAACTAGTACAACTGGAGTAAAGGATGACACAAACCCTTGGTAAGGGGACTGAAATGACAGATACAAATCATTTGTGTGTGTATATATAAAGCCAAACATATTTCTGCTCCTTGATCTTCTCATCCACTCATTGATGACTCAAACAGGAAATTTTGACTCCTGGATCTACAAACCTTGGTTCTTGCCCTAAATAAAGGTCAACCTTTCACCATAGCTAACAATCCCCAAACCTATTCTCTATTTTTTTTGTTGATTTTGTTTAACTTTTGAGGACCAAGTAGGGACCACACAGGATCCTCCTACTTGGACTTTTATTGCCTTTTTTTTTCCCCTTCTTTTGTGACATATTAAATACTACAGCTCTCTGCAGATGTCCTTCGGCCTATTTATGGCAATGAAAGAGGGAAGAAAAAAAAAAATCAAACAAAAAAACCAAGACACAACTATTTGGCCAGTTTTGTCCTCCTCATATCACTTGCCCTCCACCCCCCAAAAAAATCACTCAACTTCTAGGAACAAAGGCTTTCCAAATTCATCCAAATGTCCTATACTTAGTCCTCTGAAAACCCCAAGCGATTATGCTACGATCCTGCCCAAGATCCTTGCGTGGATGTCCACTTGGAGAACAACAACAATAAAAAAAACAGTGAAAGTGGAAATGAGAGTGTCCTTCAGTTCTTCCATTCCTCCATTTGTCCTGAAGACATTTATTTTCAAGAAAAGAACAGCCAGTATGTGTGTAAAGTAGAATAATAACTTCTTGTGTGGAGCTCAGCGGATACCATCTCTGTCCCTTTTAGCCTTAAGTAACTCATTTTTTATCTGGAAGTAGGATAGAGGTAAAAAGCATTGTTAAAAAGAAAAACATGGGAAACTATAAAAAGAAAAATAATCACGAACACAAAACTCATTAACGGAAGAGAACATATAAACAAAACAGGTAAGAAATCAAAGCGGGGAAAAATATGATTTGCTAGCTTGGGGTGAAGAAAGAGTGAAGAATATGATTTTCCTAAAGTAAATACCTGGATTATCTTCCATAATATTCAGAGCCTCAATAGCAGCAGCAGCTAACAAAGGAGGCAGGGATGCAGAAAAGCAGTAGCCCTGACCGGACAGTCGCTGGGGGAAGAGAAAAAAAATTTTTTTTTTCAACAGTATAGAAAATGTTTTACAAGTAAATTTGTTTAAATTTAAAAGTAGGTCTCCTATCCATTTATAATGTTCTGCAGAACAAGGAAGTTTCTATATAGAATCAAATGTATAATTATTTATATTATAACATGGCTTGTAAATTGAGAAACCACTTCCATTTCTCAATAACTAATTCTGCCATGCCATATAAAAATAAGACCTGGCTTACCTGATGATCAATAACAAAAGATCTTCCACAGCAAAATCCTCCAATAGAAGCCAGTGAATTTTCCATGTTTGCGCTGATAAGATCTATATCATCTATCTGCCATTTAAATTAAGAAAGTTAATCAAGAAATGCCTTTAAATCAAGACTAAAATAAAATACATCCAAATGTTTCTTATTTCATATTATTATAAATACTAGAGCACCCAGAATTAAATTTCATATTCAAATGAAGATGCAATTTTAATAATTTCAAGCTATACAAAAAGGACTTTAAAAATTAAGATTTATGGATCTGTATATATCTTTGCACAAGCTCATTCTCTTTCAGGCATTGTAATGTACAGAACACAAAAAACAAACAAACAAAAAACATATATGGATATGGGCCACAACTCTTCAAAGCATTCAGTGTCATGGTATCCTTTACAAATGTAAGTAGTCCCATAACAGTCAATAAGTCATAATGTGACCAAAATTGAGCACAAGCCTAGTTAAATCAGAGTTTGGACCTCAGAGACATAATTGTCTCATTTTTTTTCCACTCAGCTGCCCCTCCCCTCCCCCACTCTAGATTGAATAGTTAAAGCAAAGAAAATGTAGGGGTAGGAGTAGAAAATAGTGAGAAGATGGAATACCAAAATTTGATATGTAACTTTTAACTGAACTCTGACAATGCCCTTGAGAGGCATTAAATGATATTCCACATTGGGGAGACACTGGCTGTGAGAGGTTTTTTTTTTTTTTCCTCTCTCTCTCTCCCTTACTCAGCTCAGATGGTTTCAGTAGCAAAGAACTGCAAGGATTCCAAAAATATATAGATCATTCCATGTTAATACTCCTCAGAAGACGACTATAAAAGGACTTCCTGGGAAAATATTTTGGCTGAATTTGCCAGTAAAGGAGTAGGACAACACCTTTGAAAGGAATAACAAAAGCTTTCTCCTATTTTTTCTCCTTGAGTCAAAGGCAACAGATCACAGCAGGCATTGGAAAGTAGCCCCTGAGAAGACTTTTCTGACTTACCCTTAACCTCCAAATATTTCTGTGCAAGCATACCGATTTGGGGGCATATGGAGCTGGAGAATAATCGTAATTTCACTGAGTATCAAAAAAAGTATAAAATTATGCACTGTAAGAATTTCTCTGTCTGCCTCTCTAAAGATATATATTCTAGAAAACAAAACTATTTCAGGTAAGCAGGAGAAATAGCGCCAAGTCCTGGACTCTTTACTGATAAGTGGACAGAGGGAAAAGTATGATAGAATCTTTATCACAGACTAATAAATATCAATGCCACAAGAAATGAGTAGCAGAATTTGCCTCTCTACAAGTCTCATTTACAGCAACAACAACAACAACAAAAAACAAAAGGAAAATGGCACTTACGTTTACGCCTAAGTGTTCAGTAATTCCTCGTCCATGTTCCCCAAGTACTCCAAAGGAAAGGCTCTCTTCCAAAAAAATTCTAACTTTGTATTTATACTTCAGTTTTATCTAAAACAATGGAAATAAGACAAACCCATCAGAATTTGGTAACAAAATGAGTGGAAGGAAGCAAGGTAAAGACAAGACAACTACAGTATCCTGAATATTGCAAAAATATCAGCTCTAGAGTTGAATTCTGTCATTAAGATATCGAAAAATCTTTCAAAACATTATCACAATTTAATGCTAAAGATAGAGTAAATTTCATAAATGCTAATGATCATGTACAAAAAAAAAGCTTTGGTTTCTCTTGTCTACTTATCAAACACTTTCAAGATACTATGTTTTCACAGCATTTCTTTCTTTATCTACAGTCTGTATAACAAGCCAATTTATGTTGAATAGTAAACGTGAGTTCCTTGGAGACACTGTTTATTACAGCAATATGAAGGTTTCTTTGATTTTTTTTTAAGATATAATCTGAGTTTAACAATTTAGTAACATACAGCTTTTGAAAATAGAGTAGATTTTACAGGTTGAAAACTGAGACATTAACTGGATATTTATTCCATTTATTCCCCAATATATTTTTACTTACTGATCAGGAATTTCAATAAAACGTCAAATGGGGTTCCCATTTCATGAATATTTGAGGAAGGAAGGAGATAAGAAAGGTTTGCTTATTTTTAATTTTGTAGGCTTAATTGCACAATACTACTGTTTTATTGTCATGGATGTTCATATACAGAGTTTAAAAAGCAAACTGAAACCACTTACCAATTCTGGAAGAGGACAGATATCTCCTGTATTCATATACAACCCTTCCACTACAATAAACCTTCGAGTTACACGGGCCTTGCGGCGATTCTTCAGAAAAAGATATGGTTTCAGTTGGTATCAATAGTTACTAACAAAGTTTTTACTTTTACTTTAGTCTAAATTTAGTATTTATCATTTATAATAGAAGTTGAAATGTGTCATTGGACTATTTTTCTTTATTTTTCTATTTGTTTTGTAACAAACTATAACCAATTAATTTGAACTTTATGGATAAAATACAAACAATACAATCGCAGAACAAAGACTGCAAATCTGGATCTCTATTATATTCAGAACAGTTATGTTCCCTTGTTAGAACATTTAGAAGGCCTTTCAACAACTGGTTTATGTGACAAGATTCTCAATGCAGCACACTACTCTTGGAAGCAGTTGTCTATAAGACATGATTCAAAAGTATTCATAACTTTCAAGTCACAGTCTAGTCTCTGAACAATAAAAGCCATAAGAATATTCTGCCCTGGTTTCTGTTTAAACTATGGATGATTTGACTTTTGCTGTTCTAAAATGACACTTTAGTTCAAAAACTGTTAGCAATTGAAAAAAAAAAAAAAAAAAAACACACACAAGTTGTTCTATGGATTATACTACCCTCAGTCTTAATATTCATCACTTAGTTTCTTCAGCATTGCCCAGTTCTAATTTCTTATCATTTGATTATGCTAAACCTTATATGAAGTGAAACAATGTTCAAATTATGGTTCCCTTGTTACTTTAATACTCTAGATCAGAAAATAACGGTAGGATTTAAACTTCACCACTTTTTTCAGTCCTTGGCAAAAGATTTAGAGAACATTTGTTTTTCCTGAGCAGTAAGTACCAAAACTAGGCACAGCCCTAGCTCTAGTAGTAAGACCTACTCCTTCCTACTCAGGATGTCTCGATATGATTGTACACATACGGACTACATTAAGCTTGCTGGCCAACAATTTTATATTCACATTCAGCTAGTTACATTAAGAAACTTTAATCATGTATCTCAGCCAAAGCACTCTAACAAACTAAACATTACAAAAACGTTGCCTCACTAGTCTGTCAACTAAATCTAAAATCTCCTGTAAAGATTGTTTGACAAGATGCATTTTCTATAAATGTATGCAGTCTAGCTCCTTTAAATTTGCTATTAATCAGATCCACTATTGATTTAGATTGATGTTAAACTGATCTGTTTACAATTATCCAAATGTTAGCAGGATATCATCTTTCTTCCAATTGTCTGCAACTTCCCCAGCATTCTGTGACTGAGGAACATAATAGAACTAGCTCTTCAGTAGATTATTTTAAAATTCATATATGCAAATTATCTGGACTTGCTGATGCTGATTTTAGTAGCTGCTTTTGGGCACCCCCCTGTATTCCTGTCAGAGTATGAAGTCATCCAGTTGACCTCAAATACAATTTTTAAGAGAGAGAACATCTCAAGAGCTCAGTACAAGATAGATAATTGACTGAGAAGTGAAAGAAAAAAAAGAATCAAGTGAAAGAAAAAAAAGAATTCCTTCTATAAATCAAACTTAGGAATAGCATCACCACTTCTGTGTTGATTTTATTGTGTGGCGTTCAAATTGCTAATTAATGGGTACAATATGTTAGGTAAACACAGTTAATATGAACATCTAAAGGACAAAACCCATGCAAGAGTACCAAAGAAGTTCCATAATTCAATCATTTGCCCACAGTGATACCCCTGCCACCAAAGCCTCTGAGTTTACTTTCAGTGGTGACATTGACAAGCGCAAAAAAGGAAAAAGGTAGCTTATTTACATGAGCAACTATTTATGAAAACAAAATAACTGTCTATAAGGATGGCATCTATTCAATTAGAGAACCCAGTAAAAAAAGGGAAAAAAAAAAAAGGGGGGAGAGAGTGAAAAGGTGATAGGGCACAAAATAACACAACATCTCAAATCTCAAAGGAACTGTACCTTTTGATCTTCAGTCTCCTGTTCTTTCAACAGTCGTTCCAGGTAAGCCATATCATTATGTTTAAATATCTTGACGTTACTATGAGATGCCTGTAATCCCTTCTGAATAGCAAAGCAGGCAGCTTCATCTCTGTAAATACATCAAGCCCTTTAAATTTACACTTGATTTTACATTTATTCAAAGAAGAATGCTGACTCATGATCTTTTTAGGACTGTCCTGCTTTTGAGTTGCTATCTATACTCAGGTGTAGTTAAAACCAGATCTATTAAAACCTCATAAATTTACATTTTAAAACATATTTCCAAAGCTTTTCAACTTTCCTATATACTATATCACTGAAATACTGCATTGAAAGCAAGCCTACGTGGTTCTTTGAAGTATGCACTGGTCCTTTTGCTTGTATGTGACAACTATTCATTTGAGTGAAACCCATGAACTGGATACAATTCCCTAGTCATCATCCCAAAAGCTCTCTTTCCTGGGTCTTGCTCTGGCCCTAGCAGAAAAGCACAAGGATGTGCCTATAATACTGTGAAGATCACTGTAAATGTTTCAAAACCTGATTTTTAAGATTCTTTGGAAATTCTTCTCCTACAGTTTAAAGGATAATTTGCTATTTTACATTTTAGAAAAATAGATCCCCCGGGGGGCAATTTCACAGTTGCATATATCCAATATCTTCTGCACACACTACATGCAGTAATTTCAACCAAGTTGACCAAAAGAGATGATCAAAGTTATGAAAAAACTTCTATAAAAGAAGTCTTCTAGGCTTTAAATCTTACACTTAGAGATAACCGAAAATAGTTTACAGTAGACAACTACAAAAGCTTCTGTGGTATATAGAAGATAGGCAAGCAACAACTGTTCACTGTCTCTTTTTATAAAAATCAAATGCATCAGTTGAAACTAGCAGATGTTACATTCAACACTAAGATATTTATTCATACAATGCTCAGTTAAACTGAGAAATTACATGTCACAGGAGCACTCTAGATATTGAAGATTTATACTGTTTAAAAAAAAATCCATGAAGGACTAAACCTTCCCTTGAGCTGAGAAATTTTTGAGCATTTTTACACTCTCTTTCTCCTGGTATTTTACTCTTCCCTAGACAAATTGCTACTGGCTACTCTCAGGGACCAGACACTGGGATTGCTGAATCCTTGGTTTGACCCAATATAGTTGTTATGTTAATTCAAAGCCAGCAGTAAATAAGAGAAAAGCATATTTGATTAGTTTTCTTAAGAAGAAAACTAATGTCAGACTTCCATACACCCTTGTATTATACACAAATCTTGTTTTTCAGCTGAGCACCCAAGTATATTTTTCCTTGAAAAAACAGTAACTGGTTTGTGTTTGGAAAAAGGAAATAATGACGAAAAAAAGAAAAAGACCAGGAAAAAAAAAAAAGGACCAGATGAAAAGACATTTGAGCTCTGAGTATTTTGCTATATAAACAGCATTATTTTCTAAATAGTTAAATTAATATGACTTACAGCAATCAAATATTTAGAGGAGGACTGTTAAATTTGTAATTTCCCAAGGCAAAAACAGTACTTACACAAACAAAATGTCTCCTCTTTTTGAATATGCAGGAATAGCACTGGCAATTGTAGCAAATCCATATGAGTATATAATAGCTTCCTCTGTCCTCATGAATTTTGCAAGTCGTTCTTCTAATTCTAAGTGCACATCTATTTGAGAGAAAAAAATAAAACAAACAGTTTAATTGCTTTCATAAAGACTAACTAGGGCTGCTTTAACAATCATCTAATGATTACTTATTTATAGTAACAGCATTACAACAAATAGCATACCAAGAAAACAGCTGTAGTCAATAGGAGACTGTATTGACTGTAGTCAATAGGAGGGGGGAGGGGGAGAAACAGAAAACGAACGAGCAAACTGCACAACTTTAAAGTCTAGTAAATTTTGCCAAGAATGAGAATATTAAGTCTTCTGAAAGCAATCACTGCAGGTAAGAGTGAAATGTAGCATAAACAAAGCTGATACAACATCACATATCAGAGTACCAGAAAGGACACTTTGTTTAACTGGTAAATTTGAAATGCGTAAGGCAATATTAGTTAAGGTTCACTACTATCATAATAAAAACAGGATACCACCTAACTTGCCTATTCTTAATTGCAATAATTTGCTTGAATTATTTCAATCAGGTTACATTAGCCTACCTGAAAGGAGAGCTGCAATTAGTAACTACAGTATATTTGCAGAGGAAGATATGATTGAAACATCTTTCTGCATACTTATAAAACCTTAATATAGCTAGTAATGTCAGGAGTTGCAGAAAAGTGCCAGTTTAGAGTATAGCATTTGCTAACGTCCTAGTCAAGAGTAGGACTGCTGAGATCAAAGCCCACATTTCCTTTTATAAATCTTTTCTGCTAGACCACCCTTATCTTCACAGTTCAGATAAGTACTGAAATGATGGCTGCTAGGCAACCTACAAAAATCTATCAACATTTCAAGGTTAGCAAGGGATAAAAGCATGCAATGCAGCTTCCAGGGATACAGTAGAGTAAAAAGCAAAAAAAAAAAATAATATTCTTAACAGGGTCCCATTAAATCTAAGAAAACTCTTTAAATGGGCAGAGATATAAAGAATCAAGTCTCTACTCAGAATAAATTAGACCACAGTATCTACCTTCCCAAGAAGGGAATGCTAATGCTGCTATGAGATATCAGCCCCAAAGAGAGCCTGATTCTGAATGAGAGCTATTGACTATCTCTATTTTACTAGAGATAACCAACTTTTAATCACAATCTATTTCAAATAATTACTAAAAAGAAGCACCAAAGAAGAAGAATCAAGCTGGACTTAGAAGTAGGGCACATGAGTCCACAAGTCTCCTTGAGCTTTCCAGTTAAAAAAAAAAATCAGAATAAATGTAGCAATTATGTGATCATTTAATTTGATTAACTGAAAAAGTCCATGTTAGTCTTCTGAATTCAGGTCAAGCCTAGCTGCACGAAATCATTTCGAACATGCAGCAAATTCCATCACTTCTAGGAAGGATCAGGAAAGCTCACAAGCCAATGAATCAATGTTTTTTCACCAACAACTATGCAGCTATTCATTTATTACTCTTTAACCAAAGAGTAACCAATATTTCAAAATACCAACATGTATGAAGAAACATTTCTAGAGGATAATATTTAACAGCGTGCTTCTTAATAAGAACAAAAAAACCTCTCAGTAACACCCTCTCACACTATACAAACCTCTTAATTAAAACATTAAGGTCATAAATAAAGGAAAATTTAATTCTTTCTACAGAATCAGGGAAACTTAACTAATAAGCTTTATCACAGAACCCAAAGATCAGACTGCCCTCTTGTGGCCTACTTAAACATATTACTAACTTAGACTCACAAATTCATCATACTTGATTAGATGCTAATATGTTCATTTTCTCTACTGCGTCAGAAAAACTAAAGCAGACTATATTTAACTTTTTAATTTTGTAACTTTCCTCCAAGAGTAGTACTGAAAGGACAGAGTGAGAAAAGGCATAGAAATTGATAAAAACAATGCTATAAATGCTGCCAATCCTTACCATTACAGAAAAAAAAAATGTTAGAGGGTAATTGTTCTTCAGAGTGAGGGAAATAATTTGCGGCCTACACATAGAACTATTTTATCCAACTCACTATCCCAGTCTGAACATCTTTAAAGGTAAATTAAAAAAAGTTACTGACCAAAAGTACCATAGAATCCTCTAGGTCCACAAGTGCCAACACCATACTTCTCCAAAGATGCCTGGGCCGCATTCTTTAAGAACAACAACAAAAAACAAACAAACAAAAACCAACCAAAAAAAAAAACCCACACAAAACATTTATTCCTAAAACAGATCAACTCTTCTATACAATTCATATAACTTTATGCCACTGTATATATACTAGTTCTTGCACTGTAACATAATCAGCTTCACAGAAAGTATAATTGTATATCGAATACTGTGAATTTATCTCACGGCACAGCTTTTTAGACTAGCGTTTAAGCATCATTCATTGTGTTCTAATGAAAATTCACAGTAGATACTAATCTAACATGATAATCAATAACTCCAAACAAGCCCATCATATAAAATTTTAGAGGAAAAAAAACCCAAAAAACTAATGTAAATAGCAAAAAAATGCAAGATTTATAATGTTCCTTGCTACTTAGAAGTAGAAAGGAAATCCTTACTTTCTGAAGCCATTGCTAAACTTTGAATTAACACACAAACTAAAAGAAGAATCATAGAATACATAATAAGAGGAAACACTCACCTTAACCTTTTCATTATCCAAAAGTCCGAGGAAATTAAATGATGCAAAGTTTGTACACTCCTTGCCGTTAACGGTGATTTTATGAGCAGGAGAACTAAAAAGATTAGAGAGATCTATTGTTATGAGTGAAGAGTTGGTGTGAAGAGTTGGTGTTTTCATAAAGAGTCAAACAGTAGCTGAGCTTTGTTCATCAACAACAGAAGGCAAAAAGCAATTTTAAGATTCCCTTTTCCCACTTTTTCCCCTTTAACAGACAACTGATATATAAGTTCAGTATCAAGGCATAAATATACTACCAATCTCAGCAAAAGCCATATTCCTGGAGCTTAATAAAGAATCCTTAAATTTCTTCCTGAGTTTTGTCATTCTTGTTGAAAACTTATTTCATACAAAGTTGATTCATGAAGAGATGAATAAAGCTTCTCCCTTAAAAATGATGTCTATTTGGAAAAAGGAATACTTTTTTGCTTGATACTTCAATTATAAAAATGAATTTTAACAGCCACGACATCTTAACATTCTATTGCAATACGTTCCCTACA